GCGGCTCTGAGTAGGAATGGAAGCGTCGAGGTGGAGATATCGCCGCGCAGAAACGCTTGGCATTACATGGAAATATCACTTCCTCAAGACACGAGAGCAGAAGTTGTAGACTACCGGTTTGTAATTTGCTCCAGATATACTTATACGTTTTCTTATATATAAACCTACTTATACTCGTACAGAGCTCTTGATGAAGTCTCTATACAGGAGAAATGAACAGTGTTAATAGACCGAGATATAAATGATGCGAATTAGGATTAAGAGTATGAGCTGATTATCTACTTTTTTGTGAATTTTGAAAATCCCCGTGTTACGTAATCTTCACATGGCAATTTTGAAAACCTGAAGTTATCTTGCGTCCATAAATAAAATGTCCCGAGAAACTAATTCATTGTATAATTACAAGTACATTAAAAGACGACGTAAACTAAGAAATTTTATCGTTGATATTAAATGAAATCCTGTGAGATTTTATGGCACTCTTATGCGATGAAGAGTGTTCGTAATTTATTTGCACAAATTTTGAATCCTATGAGAATTTAATTACACGAAATGCAGTAACTAATATAATGAGTTGTTCTAGATAGCTGCGTTAAAATTTATTGGTGCAGTAAGAAACATACGTTTAAGTTATTTTTACTAATGACTAAAATAGCTCTTTATGTATTTTATATATTTTACGCCTATTTCCCCTTTATAAAATCAGAAAAAATATATAAATTATTGATTTATTCAATTATTTAAAATATATTGTTCTTTTGGAAGTAAGTTCAAAATATAAATGTACAAAATTCTTTTGTGGTTCGAACACAGTTTATTCTTTAATTTCTGCAGATTTTTAAAATTAAATTTCCTGAATAATGATAAAACTGAATAGTTTTATACCTCATTTTTCAGGTTGGAATTAGATCTCCGAGGCGATGACACCAGCAAATTTGAGTCACCTCTTCTAATACGTCAAAGTTATCCCGAATTTTTCACATTTGATTACGACTTGCATCCAATGTCAAATGGTTCCACTCCTGCGACAATCACACTGAGCTCATATCGACCCACAAGTCTTTCTTTCGCCGTAGAGAGGGTACAAGACATTGGCGGAACTCTGGTAATTGGTATGGGACTGAAACCTACTGTTGATGACGTTAAGAAAGATGAAGTTATGTCAAAAGCCACATACAGCTATAATAAAGTCAAAGTAAGAAAAGAATACATACAGTTATGATTATTTCTTGGTTGTAAAATATTTGTTAAAGCATTCATAAACATTCAAAATTTCATAATTTATGTTTTCAGGTTGTTGTGTGTATTGGTCTAAACGTCCAGCCAACACCCGCATTCACCAACTCCTGTATGCATGGCTATTTGAACAGAACAGCCGATATGATTCTTAATACCACAGACACCATGAGTTTAGTAAATATACCTTTTCCTGAGCCAGGTACCTGGTTTGTGACTGCAGCTATATATTGCTATGATGAAAAAACCTCCAAATCTGAAAGAGACAAACTGACAGACGAATGCAAACAAGATATTGTTTTTTCTGTAAATTCAAGTCCTTGTTTGGGTGGCGGTTGTAGCGATTATGGAAAGTGTTACCATTATATGTCCGGAGGATTTGTATACTCTACTTGCATATGCTGGAAAGGATACAGCGGTAGGTATTTAATACAACATATTCTTCTTGTAAACAAATTAAATTTATTCGTACTTGTTTTAGGATGGGATTGCTCCGATGCGTCCAGCGTTCCTAGCTCCTGGCTTTTGTTGCTGCAAACTTTATGTCTTACGTTATCAAACTTGATGTTCCTAGTTAGTGTTGTATTTGCAATACGAAGAAAACATTATCCACAAGCTATGGTTTATGCAGCTACCATGCTGTTTTCTGCTTTGTATCACGCTTGTGATTCTGGCGAGGATGAATATAGTTTTTGCTTGGTTCGGTTATCGGCCATGCAATTTGCTGACTTCTACTGTGGACTTCTGAGCATTTGGATAACTCTGCTAGCTATAGCCAACGTCAGAGAAGGGTAAGAATATTAAAAAACTGAAGCAATGTTTTTAAAATAACGCACAATATTAAATTCCAGTCTGGCTTTGTTGCTTCACACTGCAGCATCCATTATTTTTGCTGTTTGTACAGAATTGGACAAACACGCATTATGGGTGTTTTTGCTAGCGGCTTTGTCCGGTTTGGCGGTTGTTCTTGCTTCTTGGGGGTTGCATTACAGACGAGAAAAGCGATTTTATCCAACGCGTCGATATCTGATCTTTTATCTACCATTAGGACTTGTCATTACTGGTATTGGTCTCATATGCTACGCGTTTTTGCAGACCAATAATAACTATTATATAGTACACTCACTGTGGCATATGGTAAGTGCTAAAAATTACATTGTACAGTAGTTACTTATGCTACGTATCTACAACTTTTGCCCTTCATTATCTTTTTACTGATTTCTTTTTGCTTTTTGTAGATAATGGCCATCGGTGTTGTTTTACTTTTGCCTGATTATTCGAATAGTATGAGAAAAAGTGGTACTGATAATAGATTATTCGAAAACGACAGTCCAATCAGCACAACTACAAATGGTGGAGTGCTAATGAACGGGGAGGCAAATGGACCGCATGTCTAGCATAAGTCAAATATATTCCAAAGGCTCGTGTCGATTCTGTTCCGTTCTCAGTATCGAAAACTTTAAATAAAAGCCTGATCTTGTCCATGTTTCGAAATAATCCGCATAACTCAAAAATGCATGTTTTTGTTCAAGTACCAATAATATAATAAAGTAAAATCTGTGTATTTTTCTTCACTATAATATCGAAACATGGATGAAATTCATAAAACTGCTCGAGCCTTTGCGAATTAATTTTACACATTCCAAATAATTTGCCTATGCATACAAAAGATCTAGAAATTAATTTGTATCGCACAACTAATGAATATCATAGAACACATGATATAATGAAACAACTTTTCACGAATTGGCTTTGATTGATTTATCAAAAGTCAAATAGTTTAATGAATTTTAATAAAAATTTGATATTTATTGCATTCACCCTATTTTATGGCACAAAAACATTTGGAATACGAAATATGTATACTTGTATGAAAAGAAAATTGTAAAGAATTTGCCATTGATATCTGTGATCTAACTATATTTACGTTAAAAGCGTAAAACTATGCATTCCTTCAAGAACTTGTACAAAAAATGATCGAATTTTGAAAGTGATGAAAAATAATATTTGTTGTATATATTTTAAATGTTAGGTTACCAAAAAATGATTTCTAGACTCTTTATAATTATTTAGTTTGTAGGTTGTTTATTGCTGCAAGCAATATCGTCCGCTATCGTTTGTTGAAAGACTAAGCAGAAAAAAGGCATTAAAATTTAATAATAATAATTTAAGATTAAAATAAGCGGTCGTTTATTCAAAGCTTGAACGCTTACTGAAATATAGAACGTAGAATAAAGTGATTGTATTCAGAAAATACAAGACAAATATTTTGGAGTATATTCTGAATATAACCATTGATCATTTAGCGCATTTCTCGAAACAATAAGACTGAACCGTCCTATTGTAACATTCCAAAGACATTTAGTTTAGTTTAATTACAAAGTGATAGTCTTTATATACTTTTAATTTAGATTAAATTAGTTATCTTATACAGCTTCAGCTATCACAATTTCTTAATTCATTTTTAATTTAAAAATTGAAAACTTCAAACAACTATGATAAACTATATGACACGGTGTAAAAATTTAACAAAAAAAACATTTAAAATTAAGAAATATTTTTATATACCAATGGTTGTATCGTTGTCGTGATTTATACGTAATATGCATAAAATCAAAATATTTATAAACTCTCAAATGAAATGAACAAAAACAAACAAAACATATAAGGTATCCATTTTTCTAGTCACTTAAGGAAAAGCCTGCAACATGAAGAGAAAAATATGAAAATATTTTAGAATTAAGTAATTTGTATAATAAAAGTCATCGCGCATATTTCTTTCTGTCAGAAATTCAGATTATTTTAGTCATAAGTCTGTTAACTATTCTGATAAACCGATTCTAGAAATTACCTAGCATTCTGTCCAAAGTTGATTATAATTTTACCTAGTTCTTCACAATTTTATTGATATGAGTGTTATGAGTTATTTTTACTTTTTACCATTTAAAAAAAATCGTAATATTTAATCAATTTTTTGATATAGTCATCATAGTAAACTCATAAAACAGAAATTACAATAGTATATAAGAATATAATAACTTTGTATAAATAATAATAAATTTTGGAAAAAAAAATTTTAGTTTCCGATAGACATTTGATATGTGATTCATGAATCAGATAGAGAAAAATCGAACTTTGGAAGCAAGATCATCACAAAACGGTGTATCTGTAAATAGTATATTCTTATATCTTGAGCACAAATATAGATATTACATTGCAATAGTATATAAGAAAACGGATGATTTGCCCTAGTAAGTTTGCAAAGTCACGAATGAAAAATATGTACTCTGAAGAGAATAATTTCAAATGTCACGTGTTACCTAATGTTTGTATTGAAATATATATGATTGTTGTTATGATAAAAAAAAGGTTTTTAATTTATTTTTAAATAAATAAATTAAGGAAAAAAAAGTAAACTCGAAAATAACTTGATGAAACTGTGTCGACTTTTGGGACAAAGATCCTAATGTTTATCGATCTATAATAGACTGTTAATATATAAAAATTTAAAATAATACAGTAAGCAACTGGGCCTAAAGAAACGTGATGTTTCATCTCAAATCAATTAACCTAAAACCTTTCAACTTTTCAAAGACGCATCCGCTGAACTTTGCATCGTAGAACAAATATAATTTTCCAACTGATTTTGAAATTTTTAAATATAAAATTATTTTTACTCTTAATAGCATTTTATATTGAAGTTGATTTAAAGAACTGTTATCTTTTGCAATAATTTTATTCTATAAACATATCGGAGTTCAACTATTTAAAGCTTATTTTTAACAAATGTTAAATTTATAAAATTCACAATTTCAGGAACTCAACAAACAATTATTCACACGGATTGTACTCTTAGACAGCTGCGCTTACACATTACAAACAATCGTATAAAATAATTCTTATATATAAAAATAATTTGTTAAGACTTTCAATCTATCTTCTCGCAACTTTAACAATCATATTTACATATTTATATATAAAATGCATGGTGTATATACACTTATATGCATTGTTAATTTTTATACATAGATTTATAACTATAAAAATACAATCATGACGTGAATATATATAAAATGTTAAATACTTAAAATAATGTAAAATATCTTACAACATAAACGGTTTTTATAAATGGCAAATATATGGAAAATCGACGCGATTTCACGATTATTATAATTATGGCTTGATAAGGTGTATGTAAATTTGTAGGCAGTCAATTTTACATTTTATCGAAGGCAAATATCAGCAATTGCACGATTTTTTTATTCTATCATTGTCGCTTCCACGTAATGAAAATTTATTATCATCTAAGATGCAGTCCTGACTGTTCATCAATTTATCGTTTTCCATTATCTGTAAAGAATAATATTTTTATTATAAAAATTATATAAAAAAATATAGGAAAATATGAAATGAAAAATCGTATGTTATTAGAAGATCATGCACTGTAAGAAGTCTATGTTATGACGAAAATAAATCTTTCGAAAGATTTTACTTGGGAGTCGTGCCGGTTGGTCTTTGCTAAAGATTGGCCAAGGCATTTCTTTGGAGTTGTCGAAAAAATCTAATCGTTAGATTTATTAAAACTCTGCATAATGATAAAGTTCGTGACCTGAACGAACGTCCTAAAATTACAGGTCTACCAAAAAGCAGAAGTCGAACTATTGAGTTTTTAAGAAAAAAACAACTACAGTATCGATTATTAATGTTTATCCAAGAAATATGTATCTTGTCATATCACTACGGAACAATTTTCAAAATCAAAGTTTAAATGTGTAAACACATCTAATGTGTTTCTACAGATTAGATAAAATTTAATCGATTGTTGTACCCGAGCAAATATCAGACTTTACACAACGAGAAACATCTATTCCACTGGAGGAAGTTTCTAATTGCACAGAGCAGTGCAACTGAGATTCATATACAACCATGGATATAAAATAAATATAAATGTTATCGATAAAGTACGGAAATTTTAAATAAATAGAACAGATAGTATCACAATAAGTTGGTTAGTTTTGTAGCTGTTTATTTTTAGAAATTTGTGAATTCAGATTGATTTGAACCACATTATAACTTTATTAGGGAATTGACAAGCATTTTGTACAACTTTTTTGAAATATAAGCTTTTGCACATAAAGAAACAAACTCAGAAGAGTTTGAAACAATACTGCTATTGAACATAGCAATAAAAAGATGCATATTCATAATCTTATTTAACCGATATTTCGAGTTAGTTTTAATAGAGTCTATTATTATACGAAAACATCTAGTTATAGTTTTACTACTAAACTGATTTTCTACTATTCAATACAAATTTATTTTTGACATTTTTATTAGAGTTTATATAATCCTGATGTATAGTTTTCATATTTGATGCAGCGATATCGGTAAAGAATATTTTCACCAAAATATTTTGATATATTTTTCAAAATCCATATCACCTTTGTCTGACCAACAACTTCGGTTGCAAGGCCAAAACCTTACAACATACGCCACGAAGTGCCCACAAATCATAATATTTGTAACTACTAATCTGAATTTAACATTAATGAACTACCAAATAGATTAAATTAAATTAGTTGAAGAATAAATTGTCTTTATATCGTAAAATGAATTCATGTTAACCCTTTCCACTCGCAAATTCCGAGATTTATATGAATTTTGTCGCCGGAGAGGCGGCATCCGAGTGGAAAAGTTAAACATTGATAATTGAATATTCATAGAAATCCATCAAATTAATTAATCATATATTTTTTGTTAAAAAATTGGAAATAAATGGTTACGAAAAAGAGAGGACAATAGACAAATTTATTCTGATACTTATGTTAGTTCAGTAAATACTATCCTTAAATTTATTTTTACATACCGTTTTTACTAAAGCAGTTGCTGCTTCTTCTATATTAACGTTTTCCTTTGCCGATGTTTCGAACCATGCAGCAAAACCTTTTTCTTTTACAAATTCATCAAGTTTAGACGGAGAACTTGCTAGGCCTTCTTTAGGTTGATCACACTGTATGATAAAATCAATGTAAGTATATTCATGGAGCAATGCCGGTAAGAGCAATTTGTATTATATCTATAAAAATTGATGAATCTTCAAAATTTATCATTTATATCCACCTTATTTGCTAAAAGAATACAAGGTATAGGTGATCCATCAGGTAGTTGTACTTTGGCATCCAAATCCGCTTTCCATTTATGAACAGCATCAAAGGTGACGGATCTGGTGACATCGAAGACCAAAAAGGCACCTACGGCTTCTTTGTAATACACCCGGGTCATGTTTCCAAAACGCTCTTGACCTGGATAAAACAAACAGGTATATAATGGATAAAATTATACGAAATTGAAAATAAATGGAGATTTCAAAAGTTAAGTGTATTAATGATAATTGAAGAGAGACTCAATGAATAATTATCTTTCTCGCGCCACTAATAATATAATAATGCTGAATGTATATCGTACAGTTTACACTATATAAATCCAAAATTAGAAATGAAAATTTAAATGATCTATAATATAAAAAAATCGAATTTAAAAGCAAAAGGCAAAAGGCAAAGACAAATTTGAAAATTTGTAATTTTTTTTATTGCAGCATTAAATTATAATTAACTGCATTAAACAATGATTTGTGTTTCCTAAATAACTACTGGAACTAGTTTCATTAATTAATACTAGTTAATTTTTGTATCCGAAGGTGAAGGCAGTTATACTGAATGTAGAAAAGCTAAAAAACGTCTTGTATATATAATACTTTAGAAGCGTTAGAGCTATTTCTAAAACAGTAAATCTATCAATCAAAAGAGTACATATTTCGAGAAGTATGAAAACTTTCAAAACCGTGATTTAAATAATAAATTATTTTTATTTATTTATATTTAAATAAATATAGTAATGTCCAAATCTAACATTATTAGACATGCGAAAGGCAACGAATAATTTTAAAATTTATAATTTTATCGATTGCAGCATTAATTCATAATTAACTGCATTAAATTACGATATGTTTTTCCTAAATAACTAACTAGTTTCAGTATTTTGATCATTAATTTTTGTACTCAAAGTTGAAAAGGAGTTATACTAAATAATATAGTAAAACTAAAAAACGTCTAGTATATTTCATTTTTAAATGTAAGAATTAGAGCTATTCTTAAAACAGTACCCATATAAATCAAAATAGTGCATAAGAACATTGCATAAGAATAAATAGAACATTTTTTTAGAAATATGAAAATTTTCGAAACCGTGATTTTGTATTTTATATGTTCATCATTTGACATTGTTCAGTTTTATATTATCTTTAGCTTCAACTTTAATTTAAAATTTAAGTACAAAGTATTAAATTATGTGTATATTAATCAATATGCATAAGTATTAACGACTATGTTATAATCTATAAGTACATATTTATTGTCAATTATCTGTATTTTATTAAGTAATAAAAATAATTTTATCGATGATAAATTATATAGGCATAACCATTTCAGAATTTCCACTTTCAAAAAATTTGAATTCATATATTAATTTTGTAACATTAACAATATTTACTCTAAATGTATTTTCTAATATTTTTTATTAACTTCTGTTTTGATTTGCGGCATCAACCTTTTAACTTATAAATTATTAAAGCACAACCTAATTGTTGAATAAATAAATATATAAAAATATAAATTTATTTGATATAATAACGAATAGTTAGTATATAATTCAAGAAGTGTTCAAATCAGATTGTAAACGACTACAAAATAGTTTACTCATATTAAAATCGTTAGTAATTTTGTATGAAGTATTTATAAAATTGATATTTTCAAGTGCAAAA